GCGCCTGCTGAAAACCAGAATCCACAGCTAACGTGTCTGTCAGGTTCACCATCAAAGAGCCCATGTCTGTGTGAGTGAGATTGGAGACACCCGCCTCGCATTCTCTTTGCACTTGTTCTCTCCTCTTGGCATTTTGCCTACAGATGAAAAGGTAAGATGCTGTTTCCAGCTCTTTGAGTTGTTCTGAGTGATGCCTTGATCTGGCTGGTTTGCTCTGGTTCTTAAAGAGAAATTCCTAGGAAAAGACAAAGACTGTGGATGCAGAGCTTGGGTTTTGCTCGGTTGCTATTTGTTCCATTGGTTTTGAAGCAGGACTTCAAGTGCTTTGTTAAAAGATTTAGCTGTTGGTCTGGTTTTCCTTTGTCCCAGGTAGCTGCCAATAAAATACGATTTCATAGTCTTATGCCTTCAGCAAATGAACTACACAGGACCTCCTAAATCAATCCTCAAGCAGCAGTTTGTTGTCCTTTGTGGCCAGTAGAAAGACCTGCTTTTCAGACACTGCATTAAAGAGATGGCCCCTGTGCTGCCTACCTCTTTCCAGGGGAGGTCTGAACTGAAAATTTGCTCCCAGGCTCTGAGCAATAAAAGAAATGAATCTTGGAAAGGCAGAATCAGCTGGTAAATGAGTGAGCAGACTTTTCAGTTAAGAGGATGAAGACATCTCCCTCTAAACTCCCCAGCTGCTCTATGAGGCTGGGGCTGCTATGATGGCAGGGGTTTCACTGACTCAGAATATTTCATTTTCAACCTGTCTCATAGGTTGAAAGAAAAGAGGAAAGGAAGAACCAAGGCCATTCTTAGGGTGTCTCCTGTCAGCTCCACACAAAGATACTGAGATTGGCGTCAAAGGATGTTACTGCTGCCCTTCACAGGTGACAATGGCTGGTCAAACAGCAAAGCACCTGGAGGAGGGAGTAGGAGCCATTGCAATTATGCAGCAAAGTGGTTCACCTGGTGAACAGACAGATGGAAATCAGGTGCAGCTGGGGTGCAGGAAAGATGGGGAGAAGGCTGAGTGAAGAGCTGTGGCTATAACTTTGTGACAGTATTTCTCAAATGTAAGCATAGGCCTGGTTTTCTGGCAGTCACTGTCACAGGGAACTCTGGCTTTAAGCACACCTTCATGCTGCCCAGCTCGAGAGGGACAGTCTGAGAAAGCTACCCCAAAGTGAAAGGATGCACTAGAAACACTGAAAAACCCCTTTCCTCCTTTTGTGGGAAAGGACAGGGGAGAATGACCTAATTGGAGAAATGTTTAACTTGTGTCATGTCCCAAAGCTGACATGTCTCATAACCCGAACACAGGGATGAAGGAAGACCCTCAAAAATATTACAGTGAAGCAGAATGAATGAGAATACTCTTGCAGCTGCTGTGCTGAGGGACTTGGTCTCAAGTGTTCTTTAGACTTAAATTACCCTCCCAGTGACAGCCTCACCTGGTGGGGTGAGGTGAAGTGACCTGTACAGGGTCAAGGAGGGAAAGTGGGACAAGCTAGAGAAAACTCAGTCTGCCTTCCTGGCCCTTGGTCTTTAGATCAGCATCCCCTGCTCTGCTGACAGCAGAAGATTTGTTTCTCTGTTACGCTGTGAGGTATCAGCACAAAATTTCCAGTTTTTTCTTCCCTTGACCAGTTTGAGCCACCCTGAAGCTGTATGTGTGTGCATGCACACGTCTCTCTGTCTTGAGCTGCTCTGGGCTGTTGCTGTCCTGCAAGGCTACCATCTGCCTCCAGTTCTGTTCATCTTGACATCTTCATCCCAAGGAAACCAGCTGTGAGGAGGGGCCAGTGCCAGCCAGACCCAGGTTGCCAACCTGGCAGCAAACAGCCCTAGCCAGACAGCTGGTGCTGTGCAGGCAGCTCGGAGCCGGAGCCGTGGCCCGCAGGAGCCAGGCTCCCCAGCCCCTCAGATGGTAGGCTGTGAATGGGAGGGTAGGGGGGCTAGTCAGGAATCAAAGGGAAATGTCCTACTGATTGATGGCCCTCATTTGCACATGAAACTGGGACTTCAGCCCTGCAGGCCCTGCACGTGTGTCTCGGCTGCTGTAACCAGGGCTGGGAGAAGAGGAGGTAACCAAGGAGGGAAAAAATCACTTCCAGCTCTGGACACCATAACTGTTTTCATCTAAGTGTCCTAGGTCTGAATCTTGCTTGCCTTTACAGTTCCTGGAAGTTGGTTTCTTATTTTTTTTTTTTTTTTTTTTTTTTTTTTAATGGCAGGTGAGGCAGAGCACCCAGGATTATGGCAACTTCTTCCACCTTCTTCTCTCCTTTCCTCTTCCTGTGTGTGCTGGTTCTTTCTGCCATCAGTCTTGCAGTCTCCCTGGACCCTGGCACAAAGCTCAAAAATGTCCCTGAGAACAACAACCATCTTCAAAACCAAGAGATGTGGCTGCAGCAGCCCAAAAGTGGGCACCACCACAAGCATGGCTTGGCCAAGAAGGAGAGGGTCCATGCCATGCCTTCTAGAGGGCGGCTGGCCTCTGAGGAAGAGGCCCTCAGAATGGGTAGCGGAGCTCCAGCTGTGGAAGAGCTGGCAGCAGAGGGACAGCCAGCAGCCCTGAAACAGAATAAGGATGTGTTCCTGGGTTTTGAGTTCCCATATCCTGAGAGGGAGAACCAGTCCCCTGGGTCTGAGAGAGGGAAGAAGCAGAACCGAGAGCATCGGCGACACAGCCGCAGGGACAGGCTGAAGCATCACAGAGGTATTTGAGCTCCAAGGGAAGCTGAGGTGGTTGGGTCAGTGTATGTGAGGGCAAGAAGATGCAGCTGTGGTTGAGCCACATGGGTATGTGGAGGGTGTGGGATGTGTGCTTGCTCTAGGGCGAAATCTGCCAAACAAAAGAGGCACAAGAAAAAAGGGGAACTCCAGAACTGGAGGCTTTTGCTGCTGGCTGCAATTTTGTGAAAATGACCTAGTTTGCCTTACAGGGGGAGCTCTGAAAGTTCCCAGGACTTGAAGGGTTGTTTTGGGGTGGCCTGCTTTGTTTTTCTGCTTTTTTAGCAAATGGTTCAATTTATGAACAAACACGTCCAAGCCAGGCTCAATCTCTCCACTGACTTTGAAAGATGACGAGAACTAGAAATAATACAAACCCCTTACTTAGCTTGAAAATCAGTTTCTTCTCATCAGAGCTTGTATTCGTCTATATTTATGCCAAACTAAAAAAAAAAAAACCAAAAAACAAACCCACAACAAAAAACCCAAACAAAAAAACCTTTGCATATGTGAAATTGCACTAATTACTTTTAAATGTTGCTTGGTTTTGACTGGGACTACTTTCTGGTGCAGGTCAAGTTGTAGGTGTGTCTCTCTGTAGTATGGTATGCTCAGTGTGGTAAATCTTTAGTTCTATTAAAGCCAGGCAATTTGTGTCAATCTACACTATTTGACAAACTGGCTGTCAGTATCCCTGAGTTCCACTTATCACTCCTCCCTGCATCAGTAAGAAGAGCTCTATTGTTTTCTCAGGGGACTGACTAAATAACTCATGTTAAGCAATATAGAAGAGCATGCAACAAAGCTGGTTTGAACCAATATTTGCAGACTACAAAACAGCCCTTGTTTCTTTGGTTTAACTTAAGGTCTATGTTTAAATTAATACTTAGGAAAAGCAGCAATCAGCCTGTGAAGACATTCTTATTTCAGGTTAGGTAGGTCCTGACTTGAGCTAAATTGACATAACCCACTATTAAAATCAAATAAGAATGCGTCCACAGGTATTTGCAGCAGCTTAATCCATTGGTTTAAAAATGGTTAAACAGGTCCATTTTTGTACTCTTGAGACCAGAAGAAGAAATCCTTTGTTTCTTAAGCAAGAGATAGACATATATCTTCAAGAAGGTGTGATTATGTATGACTTAAGTGTGTAAAAACCAAGATGCATATACTCTGGACCTGATCTATCACTTTAATAGCACAAGACTTTGTTTTACGCTGGTCTAAACAGCAGCTCAGGGTGGTAGGACACTGGCCAGTGGCTGGATGAAATCTGAATTCCTTTGACTGAAGTCTATGGCATGCAGAGAGAAAAGGGATGAGAAAGCTAATGCTGCTGTACCTGTTGCCCTCTGCAGGGAAGACTCCTGAGGCTGGGCCAAGTGCCCTGTACAAGAAACCTGAAAGCTTTGAAGAACAGTTTCAAAACCTCCAGGCAGAGGAAGCTACAAGTCTGACTCCCACCATGCTTCTCTTCACTGCACTGGAACTAGCTGTTTCCACAGAAGAGCCTCCTGTCCTCCCAGCCACATCACCACGGTCACAGGTAAAGAGATAGCTGAAGAGACAGCTGGTAACTGCACTGCACCTCTGATGCAGGCAGAAATCTCCTGCACCTAAGGTCCAGTTTCCTTTTTTTTTTTTTTTTTTTTTTTTCCCCCCCCAGTTAGAGGTAAGTGCTCACTTAACACCAAAGCCCTCCCTCAAAAGCAGCTCTCTGTCTTGGAGACATCTCAACACCTCTTCTTCACGAACAGTTCCTTTAGTTGCTTCTCTTCCCTGCCCTACCTCTCCCTTAGCTAGCCATCTTCATTCACCTTCAAGGACCAGAGAGGCAGTAGCAGCACTTGACTGGAGAGGCAGCATTTCCTAATGCTCCTCCCTCGCCTTTTGTCCTCACATAGAAGCAGTGGAAACTTCCCTCTTCGCTTCAGCTGCAACAAGGGAAAACTCTTCCCTTCTGAAAATGAGTTGCCAAGAATCCCTGGTGGACAAGACAGGGGTGCAGGGTGGGGGGAAATCATAAAGCCTTTTTAAGGTCTAAAAGCACCAAGAAAATTTGCAAAGACTTCAGTGTCGCTACAGAAGTGTAATCTGTTGTCTCTTTGATTTCTTGTGGTTTGCAGGCCCGCCTCAGGCAAGATGGGGATGTGATGCCCACCCTAGATATGGCACTCTTTGACTGGACAGATTATGAGGATCTCAAACCAGAAATGTGGCCATCTGCTAAAAAGAAAGGTGCTAAACCTCCCTGTCCTCTTTCCCAAAAGTCATTCTGTAAGGCTTGTCCCATGGTTAGTGTTCACACATGTGCTGAAGGATGTGAGATCACAGTGGTGCGGAAAGAGAGAAAAAGCATCAAGCTGATTGTGTTTTGTGCTCAGTTTCAGAATGTTTCTCATTTTGGATGCATAGTTTGAGGGCAGAGGAAAAATGATGGATGGAGGGTTGAGAAATAGGGAGGAGATTAGACTATGAAGGTTTAGAGTTCAAACTCTTGAAGTTTGAGGCTGTCTTTACCCTGGAACAATGTAGTCTCCAAAATAAAAGCACTAGCATGAAATTTTCTATCAGCATCTGTTTTTTTTTTCCATAGAGAAACGCCGCAGTAAGAGCCCCAACAGTGGAAATGAAACCGTGGCGGCTGAAGGAGAGCCATGTGATCATCACCTTGACTGCCTCCCAGGTCAGGATCAGCTTGGTAGAGTCATTTCTCCAAACATGAGATCATTTGAAATCCAGCCCAGGTTCTAATACAAGTATCCTGATTTTTAATACTGACAGAAAGTGGTATGCAGAGGGAAGGGCAGAGGCTCTGTAGGCTTGTTGTGGGAACAGATGATGTCTGTACCATGGAGCTGTCATGGGTGTCAGTAGCCCCACAAGGGAAAGCTAAATGAGCTGTGCTGACCCTTGTTCCTGTGTTGCAGGCTCTTGCTGTGACTTGCGTGACCACGTCTGCAAACCACACAATCGAGGCCTTAACAACAAATGTTACGATGACTGTATGTGCACTGAAGGTGAGTTCAGCTCTTTGCTCTCCCCATGGGTGGCTGCGTTGACTCAGAATAGTGGTTCGCATGTGAAAATAGGAGCCAAGCTCTGCTGCTCTTAGCCTTTCCCTGCCACTGACTCACAGTGTGACCATTGAGTCACCTAGGGTATCTTGTTTTCCCTCTTGAAAACAAAAATCCTGCTATCTACAAACCTAACAGAAGCCACAATATATTAACACTGCAATGGTGCTTTCAAGTATCACAGGTTATAAAAACAGACTACTAGCCTTGTTTTACATGACCTTATGCCTAATAGGCGTTTCCTGAGTTAATTTCAGCTGAACCTGTTGCAATTTAGTAGGTGTGGGCAGGACACAGACTTTTGTTTCTTAAAACTATTTCTGAAGAATCCACAGCAGCCCTTAATAGACAGTTGTGTTATGAAGATGTTGAAAGGCACCCTTCTAGTCTGATTGTGTTCAGGATCTGCTCCAGGCACTGGGTCTTGCTGCCAGAACAAACTTCTGGTTGGCAAATTTTGTGACCTGTGTTTAGGTACCTAGTGACTTTGACCAGGTCATTCACCTACTTTTTACTCATTTACTTCTTTTCACAAACAGACTGGTTTCCTGGAGTTGCAATGTTAAATGATAGTCTTTACCTTTGGTGTGTCGTGTAACACTTGAAGGTCCTCATCAGAGCGGATGTTCTGATAGATTAGCCTAGCAAAGTGTTTCTGCAAGCCTAACGAGGGTTGCCCCTGGTCCTACTTTATACTTAAGCTAGTTACAAGTTGATGCCAAATGTGCATCCTCTGTAGCATTAAAAAGATCCCCAGAGATGTAGGGTCCAGATAAGATAGACAAGATGCCTAGATAAGAGCAGAGCTCTGATCTTGTGTGCTCTCCTTCTGGGAGGCCAGACTGCCCTGGGGGGATTAGTAATGAGGGGCAGAAACCCAACTTCAAGGTAGCTGATCTCAAGGTAGCCCATGCACTCCAAAAGGCTGCTCAGTGACCTGTGACATCGGCTGGGTCTCCCGTGTACAAGTACTCAAGGACAGTTTATGGGCTGTCTCATTATAAAAGCTATAAATCCTCAGCCTCCCCCACTCAGGAGTGCTGGCACTGTTGCTATCTGCTGCCTGCTCTGGAGGTAAAAAAAGTTGCAGGTTCCAGGATGATCAAATCAGCTCCTGCTAACCCCAATGACCAGATCCTGGGCTACTGAAAATCGAGGCTTTCGTGAGAATTATTTACACACAGGCTGTACCCTGTCTGGCCCAACTAGCTACACATTCTGGTGTAACGAAGTCAAACGATAGACACCAAAAGATAAATCTGTCAGTGCTAGAAACTGGTGAGTTACCCTGACCAGAGGCTCCCGTTCCATTGCCTTCCACTGCCATGGGAGAATATGTACTGGGTTTTTTTTACAAATAAAATGCCTTCCCCCCCCACCCCGCCTTAGTATTCATCAACACTGTATCACATAGTTTCCTTCAGACCCTGCACCTCGAGCATCCAAAACAGAGAAACTGAAAGAGATCAGCAGTGAGCTTTGGATCAGACCTCTGAGTAATAATGCTTCAAAGTCTCTTCCCTCCTCTCCTGAAGCTTGAGGGAAATAAATAGCAAGGGGAGCTCCCTAGCCATTGCTGCTGCACATTAAGTCTATAGTAATTTCCCCATGGAGAGATCACTTAGACAGTAATGGGAAGTAATAGGGGGAAACCAAGCAGGGCTTCCATAAAATCACTGGAAACAATCAGGATAACTCATTGGTATTTCAAGAAGCCAGTGAAATCTTGTGCCTGAGCCAATGAATCCCAAACCAGAACAGAGAGCCAAACGGAATAGCATGGCCCAGAAAGCAATATGCCCTTCCCATGTGAGCCATTTCTCTGCAACCTCATTTGACACAGCCCAGGCTTCCCAGCCCTGGGACTGTCCCCACTGCAGCAGGCTCTGTCATGAACTGAGGCTGAGAGCTAATTGTTTGATTTTGCTGCTGTAGTGAGCCCTGGTCCCTCCTGCTCACTTATGCGTGTCTTTTCCATAGGGCTACGCTGTTATGCCAAATTCCACCGGAACCGAAGAGTGACCCGGAGGAAAGGGCGCTGCGTGGAGCCTGAATCAGCCAACGGAGAGCAGGGATCATTCATTAATGTTTAGGAGGGTGGGACTCCTGCCTGGATGGTCAGGAGCAGGGGTCAAACTGTTTATACCTAGCAATGGGAATTAGAGGAGAAAGTCAAGCAAATGACTGAAGCTGCAGGCTCTGAACATGCCAGGTTCCAACAAGACTGAAGCTCTTGTTAATTACAAATAGAGTGGCCTCAGCCTTTTCCATACCAGGGCTGCATTCCCCGTCCCTTCGCTCAGCACATTCCTGCCATTGAGCTGAGTCCCCTCTCCCAGTTAGTAAGAGGTGATCATGACTACCGTTCTGATGGTCCTGGCAGGAAAAGGCTCTGCAGTTTCATCTCCTCCTCTCAACAGAGGCAAGATATGAAAGATCCTTCAAGTCAAAGGGGATATGAGCTTAAACTTTACCTCTTAACTATTGTGTGAGAAGAAAGATAGATCCTCCTTACGGATCAGAGGTTCCTACAGGATAGGAAGCTTGTAGCCTCCAGGCAGAATCAAA